TTCAAGGCAACAACGAGACCAGTCGCAAACGCAGACACCAGCATCAAGCGCCAGTCGCAAGGAAGATGGAACACACGGCCATGCTCGGTAGCGCGGGGATCGCCCGTACCCAGGACACTCAAACCACAACATGCGCACGCACCGATCCATAAGATACGCGGGGGATGGCGCCTTCTGGAACATCGGCCTCCTTCTTCTTCTTGCTCTTGCGCTCCTCGTGCATGGCAAGCCTGTCGCATGGAACGCACGACACGGGAATGTGGGGATGTGGGGATGAGCATGAGTGGAGTGCAGGGAGAGCTGGTGTGGGGCGGGGAGAAGAAGGAGGCGAGAGGATTGGCACACACACATATGTATACACACATATGTATACACACACACACACACTCACACACACACTCACTCACTCACTCACACACACACACACACACAAATACAGTCCAAAGAAGCCCCAACACACCCACGCCAACACGCCCACGCCAGCACACCCACACGTGCACACAGAAACAACGTTAGATACAAGACAAACAAGCACCACGCACGTCTTCTTCATCTGGATCTTCTCGGCATGGCGCTTCTTGTTGAAGAGCTTGGCCTTGATACCGCGCAGCTTCTGTGCCTGCTTGGAGACGCGATGCACCTCGCGTGCAGCCTTCTTGCGCATGCGCTCCTCGTGGTCCAGTCGGCGGCCATGCAGCTTGCGATGCCGCTCAATGTGTTCGTTCTGAGGCATGGTTGTGTGCTATGTGTTGTGTGGTGAAAGAGAGAGAGAAGGAGAGAGAGAAGGAGAGAGAGAAGGAGAGAGAGAAGGAGAGAGGACAAAGAACAGGGATCAAGGGCTCTTGGAGATGCTATCCGCACACTCCACCAACAAAAGCGGGCACGGCTCGTGTCGCACGTGTCTGTGCTGCAGATGTGGACGAAAGATGGGTAAGGGCAACGTGCGCGCGGGTTGAAGTTTGGCGTGTAAGCAGCGCGTGTGGCTAGAAAATTATCAAAAATCATTCGCCAATAATCAGCAACCACATCGGAAGCGAAGGAACAAGAGGAACAAGCGCGTCACACGGCAAACGGCAATGACGAGCGTCAGTGCGGAGCGACGAGCATCGCATCCACACCAGCAGCAGCAGCAGCAGCAGCAGCAAGTGACGCCGACGTTGGAGGATGTGTGGAGGGCTGAGGATGTGAATATTGTTTTGCGTGCCATCCACCATGACAGTGTCTTGGAGGAGGCCATCAGCGCAGTGTCCAATCTCACCACAACAGAGGGTGCGGCACCGTCCTTGGAAACACAGTGCGCGGTTGCCATTAGCACCGTCTGCGCCGGCCTTCCATGGACGGATCATGTATGTCAGTCAATCTCTCGCTACATTGGGGTTATTGCTGTTGATGCACGTGTCGGGTTCCTTGTGTGTTTGTTTGTGTGTGTTTGTTTGTGTGTGTGTGTGTGTGTGTGTGTGTGTGTGTGTGTGTGCGTGTGCGTGCATGTGTGAATGTGCGTGTGTGAGTGTTTGTGTGTTTGTGCGTGAGTGTTTGTGTATTTGTGTCTGTGTGTGTGTGTGCGTGTGTGTGCTTGTGTGCGTGTGTGCTTGTGTGTACTTGTGTGTGTGTGTGTGCTTGTGTGTGTGCTTGTGTGTGTGTGTGTGCTTGTACAGCTCTAAGCTTTGATCAGCGGCACTTATTCTCATCCATCCATACTGTGTTACAGTGCAAACGGCTTCACAAACAGCTGCTGATTCGCGCAAACGAACAGGTGCGGTGTGTGTTGTATGTTGTGCTTGTCAAACTTAAGCTCGCTGTGCTTGCACCCATCACTGGGAATAACTTCGGCCTCCGTCATTGTCACCACCACCACCTCCTTCACCACCTCCTTAACCACCACCACCACCACCACCACCACCACCACCACAACAACAACAACAACAACAACAACAACAGTTGCAGCCGCTGGAAGAGTTCCGGATGCCCTCTGCCGCTGCGCCCTCCGCGTATCATGAGGGCGTGCCACGAGGATCGAGCGTGAGCTTGCGCACCTCCACAATCTCCATGTCGCGCGGCTTCTCCAGGTGCGTCAATCGCAAGTGCATAGCAATGCCTGTGCACCGCCATTTCTTTGCCTGCACCTGCTTGCTTGCTTTCTTGCGTGGAACAAACACAAACTCGCACGCACGCACACCCCCTGCGTCTTCTGTTTCGGTTTCCGCCTCAACACCGCCCCCCGCTGTGTTAACAACGTGTTGCGCAGGCGCTCCGCCAGTTTGGGACACGAGGAACTCAACGCATCCAATCGGTATGGAAGAGGGGAAGGGGTGCCACAAGGAGGCGAGGGATGTGGTGTGTGCTTTTGGGCAAATAATCCCTTGCCGCATCACAACGCGCGCGTCCGCATGCTCAGCAGCCCGTCTGCTTGATGAACGTGTTGGACTTTGCAGGGACGAGATTGTGGCCGGTGTTCTTCGAAATGGAATCAAGCACCTGGTGAGAGAGAGAGAGAGAGAGAGAGAGAGAGAGCGCGCGCGTGTGCGTGTGTCTGTCTGTCTGCCTGTCTGTGAATGAGTGCGTGCGCATGTATGTTGTCACAACGTGAGCTGATGTGGTGTGCATGCTTCTGATTGTGGTAATGATGTGTGGCGTTGGTTTGACCAGGCGGCTGCAAGCGATGCCTTCTGCCTTGCGTTCCTCTCCACAACCCCGCTCTCCCTCTTGCAGTGAGTCCAACGTGTGGTTTTGCTCTGCGCATCATATCACTTTGAACGCTTCTGCACCGACTGTCTGTGCCACCATCATTTTGGCACACACATGCGCACGTTGCACTCCCATGCACTGACGCACACTCACTCACTCTCTCATCCACCCACCCACTCAGTCAGTCACTCACTCACTCACTCACTCACTCACTCACTCACTCACTCACTCACTCACTCACTCACACACACACTCACTGACACACACACTCACTCACTCACTCACTCACTCACTCACTCACTCACTCACTCACTCACTCACTCACTCACTCACTCACTCACTCACACACACACACTGACACACACAAACACACACACACACACACTGACACACACACACACACACTCACTCACTCACTCACGCACACACACAAACGTGCAGGCACTGCAACCCGTCACTGGTGCTTGAGACGGCGGCTCTGCGTGCGGTGTATGTGTGCGGCCAGCGACCCCCCACCACACAGCGCGCAGTGGACATGCTGCACAGGTACATCACCGACCATGCCGCCAACCCCTGTCGCACCACCAGTGCCCAGATGGCTCGCACCTTCCACGCGCGCCTCTCGTCGCCGCCGCCGCCGCCAACACTGCTCCGCCCCTTTTCCATCCCCTCCATTCGCACGAGCGCTGCAGGTATTGGACCGGTGTGTGTGTGTGTGTGTGTGTGTGTGTGTGTGTGTGTGTGTGTGTGTGTGTGTGTGTGTGTCTGTCTGTCTGTCTGTCTGTCTGTCTGTCTGTCTGTCTGTCTCTGTGATTATGTCTGTGCGTTTGCAAACGTTACAACCTGCATTGGGACACACATGCATTTCTGCTTGACCCTCACGACTCGCGTGTTTGCCGTGCAGTCGCTGCAGCGCGCATGGCATCATCATCATCGTCTTCAACAGCAACGAGACTGCAGGTCAGACGCACCCCCTCACAGCAACGACAACAACAACAACAACAACAACAACAACAACAACAACAACAACAACAACAACAACAACAACAACAACAACAACAACAACAACAGCAGCAGCAGCAGCAACAACAGCAGCAGCAGCAGCAGCAGCAGCAGCAGCAGCAGCAGCAACAGCAGCAGCAGCAACGGCAGCAACAACAACAACAACAACAGCAGCAGCAGCAGCAGCAGCAGCAGCAGCAGCAGCAGCAGCAGCAGCGGTCTGTGTCCCAGAGCGCATCGCGGACAATCAACTTTGCGACAACGAGTGCGGATGCGCTGACAACCATCTCCACACCAGAGGGCGATGAGACAATCGTGTGAGCCACGATGACAGCACCACTCCACCCGAGACCACATGGTTACAAGCTGGCTGGGCGGTGATCGGGCTGTCTTTTGCCAAACATCTGGCGACGTTGCTTGCTTGCTGCGTGCTGTTCATTGATGCAAATGATTACAAATACAACAGACACTTGCAACGAAAGAAGCACTGAAAAGCCACTCTTATGGCACAACACACCCCCTCAAACACACTTTGCGTTCTCTGAGTCACACTCCCCAACACACACGTCCACAATCAGAATCATCTCAAGAATTAGAAACAGCACTGTCGGTCTGAAGTTACAAGCCACACACAGCACACACCACATAGCTCGCCGCCAACTGCTCAGCACAAATATCCCCCCCCATCCATCTTCGCTTGCCAAAATCTTATGTCAATCAACAGCTCGCTCATGCGTTCGAGTGCGAGAGTGGCGGGAGACCGAACGGGCGCTGCACAAATCCACGAATGGGATTCAGCGCCTGCTGTCCACCCGACGCTTTCCGCACATTGACAACCTCACGTGGCGACGTCTGTTGCGCAAAGGGGTTCGCCACCCCCTCGTTTGCTGTTGGTTGCGGCGTTCGTCGTGGCAGTGCTGGGCCCCTGCTGCTGTCACTGGCCATTGCCCCTGGGAGCTGGTGATGGTGGTTATGGTGGCTGTCATCCTCATCCTCGCTCTCGTCAGATGATGTCCATTGCAGCTCCTCCTTGTTCAGTGGTGGCGGAGGTGAGGGGAGCGTTCGCTTCCGCGGTGCCTGCTGCGGTGTTCTGCTGCTGTTGCTGTGGTTGTCTGCGCCCGAGTCCTCGTTCTCCACTCCGCTCTCCTGGTTGCCGTCCGCGTTGCCCAGATCCCCGCCCTTCACCATCTTCACTGCCGCTGTGTGCTGTGGTGTCGACGTCATCATCGTCTGCCGCACACCGCCGGGCACCTTGCGCGCCCCAATGCTCGCCTCGCTCTCATCGCTATCGTTGTTGGAGGTGAGGGCGAACTGCTGCGGCGGCGCGAGTGTGCTGGGCACGCGCTTGAGGGACGACGGCGTCTTGGTGGTGCTCACCAGCGGCTGCACAGACCCGACAGACATGTTGCCCTCGCTCACACGCGCCAACTTCTTGCTGCGGCTGTGACGAATAACACGGGAACACGATCATCGCAAGTGCAGGTCACAGCAGTACAGCGTGAGTTGCGTGCGTGCGTGTGTGTATGGGTGTGTGCGTGTGTGTGTGGGTTGTGTGTACAATGAGGATTGCAGCATGAGAACATGAACAGCGGTGATTGTGCAGCCGTTGTGGTGTGGAAGTGCGCATCAAGGAAGCACATACGTCTTGAGGTAGAGCAGCACAGCCAGCGCGAGGACGAGAATCACAGCCACCGTTACGACGCCGGCAACCACAGCGCGATCATCTAATCTCGTGCATGTTACGTGTGCGATGCGTGTGTGAGTATAAATGCGCAGTGGTTGATCAACGAGTGATGCCTTTTGCTCTTGCCCACACATGCGTTCAAACAACACACACACACACATACACCCACAACGGTGCGCACCTGTGCTTGACGGCTGTGCAATCTCAATGAAGGACCGGGTACTGCCGGCAGAGTTGTAAGCAATCACAAACAACGACTCGCTCTGCGGAGGCCAAATGATGCGCGCGTGTGAGAAGCTGTGATTGCTGACGGTACACACGCACAAAAGCAAGCACACGCTCACATACAAGCACAAGTACGTGCATACACACACACACAAATACACACACACACACACAAACACAAACACACACACACACAAATACACAAACAAACAAACAATCAGAGGAGATGTGACTTACAAGGGGCTTGTCTGATTGCACGGTGATCTGCAGTGTTGCACCTGGGTGTCCGTCATACAGCGGGGCGGTGTCGCCAATGCGCCACAGCACATACCGCGTCACGTTTCCGTTTGGCTGCTCCGGTCGCGTCCACCGCACAATCTGCACACCTGCGCTGCGCTCAACGGTGGGCTGGCCGGGCCGTGATGGTGCTGGTGGTGGCAAGCGGGGGAACGGCGTGAGCAGCGCGAAGATACGGAGGAAGCAATGAGGAAGCAAAGTTACGGCAAATGTAAGAGGAGGGGAGAGAAGGAAGAGAAAAGAAGAGAAGACGATGTGCGAATGTTATGATGTGTCGGCTACAGTACCAAGCGCTCACACACTCACTTACACACGCTCGCGCAAGCGAACATTAACCACACAACCACGACACTCACACTCACGCACACACACGCACTCACACAACACACAACAACGACACCCCCCCCCACACACACACATACACACACACAGGCACGCACACGCACACAACACAGGCACACAGCACATACACGCAGTCACACACGCAAACACAAACCGCATGCACATGCCAACGTACGTGCGTCTTTGGTGACAAAGGTCGCTGCGTGGAGAGCGTTTGATTCTCCGTACATGTTGCGAGCGCGGACGACAAACGTGTACGCGGTTGCCGGCACAAGGTCGGTGATGAGCATGCGAGTGACGTTACCACCAGCGACACCAACAAGCTTTGGGTGGCTGTCCTGCTCGCACCATCGCAGTGCACATGTGTTCATGCAAAACGCTGTCATGTGAGGGAAGAAAATGCATGACAGCTCAATAACACCCGACAGCGTGTAACTTCCGCGCAGCATCGAGTGCTGACAGGCGTTCTTGAATGACACATTGCGATGCAGTGCACGTGTGTGTGTGTGTGTTTGAGTATGCACGTGCCAGAGTGTGCATGACAACGTGAGTACTGCACCTTTGAGATTGGGTAGTAGTTGAGGTTCTGCATCTGCAGGACTTGATACACGAGGTAAGCCTGCACAGCGCCCTCGCACGGCACAACGTCGTCCCAGGCAAGCGTCATGTTGTTCGCATCCGCGCGGATGAGGCGTGGCCGGGCAACAGCTGGCGGAGCTGTTGATGTCGTCATCATCATCATCATCATCATCATCATCATCATCATCATCATCATCATCATCATCATCATCATCATCATCATCATCATCATCATCATCATCATCATCATCATCATCATCATCATCATCATCATTGGTGGTGGTGAGGATGAGGAGGAGAAGAACGACAGGGGCGAGGAGAAGGGAAATGGAAGCAGGAGTCCGGGAAGATGACAACTGGAAAGGCAAGGGCCAGATGCTGTTCTGCTGTCGCAGGAGTCTACAGCGAATACACAGACACACAAGCACACACGACATGCAAGTGGGCAAGTCTCCACGCTCTAGCTTGTTAAACCGATTGCACACTCAAGCACGCACCTCCTGTTGGCGTGGTGACGACGGCTGCGTCGCTCTGTTCGCTCTGGAGTGTTGTGAACGCGATTACGCGAAACGCGTACGTGGTGTCTGGGTCCAAGTTAGTGACGCGGGTGGACAGGTTTGACCCTGAATACACACGCACGGCGGCTGCGCCCTGCTGCCCTTGCTGCCACACCTCATAGCGGGCCACAACACCGTTAGGCTGCGCTGGTGGCTGCCACCGCACCTCCACCTCCCGCGCGCACACGGAAACAGCGGTAGGGTTGGCTGGCTTTGTTGGCGGGAACGGCGCTGTCTCACACTCGTACACGCGCGTACGCGGGCCCTCGCCGGCCGTGGTGTTGGCCGACAGCACAATGTGGTGCTGGGATCCCGCAGCGAGCGGCCACCACGTGAACGCATCGCTTGTCGTCACCGCCAGGCGCGCTGTCACGTTGCCGGCAGGCGTGGCCTGATACACGTTGTACACAGCAACGGCCCCGTACGTGTCATTGGGCTGCAGTGCGCTCCACTCAAAGGTGCATGCTGTCTCGTTGGCGGCAATGCGGGTGACTGACGGTGCGCGTTCTGGCGCGTCCTCTCTCGTCGCCGCCGCTGTCGTGTCGCTCCAAGGACCGGCCCCAACACTCGTCGCTGCCCGCACCCGCACCGCGTACTGCGAGTTTGGCTCCAGGCCAAGGAACGTGTGGGAGGTGGCGGTGCCGGCGATGGTGTCGTTGCGAGCGATCGGCACTGTTCCAGGGGCAGCGGCTGTCGTCTCAATGTGCAGCGTGTAGTGTGTGATGACGCCGTTGGCGGGCACGGGTGTCGTCACGTGCACGAGAAGACCACGGCTGTACCGCTCAACAACAGTCACTGCTGCAGGCTTTGCCGGCAGGTCCTCCTGCGTGGTCGTGTTGGAAGACGCGTATGGACCGTCGCCTTTGCTGTGTGTTGCCTTGACGCGAACAACGTATGCAGTGAAGGGGAGCAGGCCCGTGATGGTGGTCTGCAGCGGGGAGATGTCTGTATCCGTCGCCGGGTCGCGGTCAAGGAACGCGCTGATTGGTGGGGTTGGAGAGGGGAATATTGAAGGAACGGGGGCAGTGAGGTGACGTGCATGCAAATTGCAACATGGGGGTTGCGCATCTCTCGCACACACATACAGAGAGCAAGAGAGCACTCACACAAACACAAACACGCACGCACACGCACACACACACACACTCACACAAACACACACACGAACACACAAACACACACGCGCGCGCACAAACACACAAACTCACACACACGCACACAAACACACACACACGCACAGACACACACACAAGCAAACTGGCCGGCCGTCTTTGTTCCGCGTGTCAGTACCATGGCAGTTGGGTGGCGGGCACCTGTGGGTCTTGGGGCACGCTGCCACCCGTACACGTGACCTGTGTCCACTGAGAAGCTCCAACAGCCTGGTACTCGACAGTGTAGCTCTCCACCTGCTCGTAGTTGCCGTGTGGGCGGTCCCACTGCACCAGGAGGGACGTGGACGTCGGCGACGTCGCAGTCACAGGTGCAGGGGCGTCCGGGACAACTGCAGTGCAGGCAAATCACGGGCGAGTGGTGGTGATAGTTGAGCATGCGGGTAACAACTCAGGCCATAGATACAAACGTCCACATGTGTGTGTGTGTGTGTGTGTGTGTGTGTGTGTGTGTGTGTGTGTGTGTGTGTGCTCGTGTGTGTATGTGCTTGGTTGTGTGTGTACGTGCATGTATGTGCTTGGTTGTGTGTGTATGTGCTTGTTGGTGTACGTGCGTGTATGTGCGCTTGCGAATGAGTGTACCCGCATATTTCCACAGTCAGTGCATGGCCATGACTTTTCACACCACAACAACGGCGACACAAACGCACGTTTGTCACAGACGGCGATGGTGCCTGACGTGGACTGCAGCATTGTGCCGGCAACGCGTTGCGGAGCAGCACACGTGATTGCAGCCGAGTCCTGCACAATCGTGGCCGCGTCACGAAACCACTCCATGCCGCAGCAGTACCACGCGTTGTCACGCATGTACCTGCAGCGATCGCAGAGATATCGTGCTGTTGGTGAGCGACTTGCGCGCAGTGTGTGCAGCAAAGCTGAGACAAGCCAGGTGCTGAACCGTGTCCAAGCGGTCGTGTTCTATGGTTGTGCAAAGACTTGTTGCGTGAGCAGGTATTGCAACAATGAGCCCGAACACGTGGCACTCACAGCTGGAGGAGGTTGTCCCATCGAGCGTCGTTGTTGTAGCTCAGTGTCGTCAGCTCATTCGCATCCAAGCGCCTAACGACGTGAGCATGACACAAGGGTATGTGTGTATGTGTGTGTATGTGTGTGTGTGTGTGTGTGTGTGTGGTTGATGATGTGGTGTGTTGGGTAGAGCTGTTAAACAATGGGAAGTGGTGCGGAAGAGATGTGTGTGGCTGCAACACGAAAACATGCTGCTGGTGGCGGCGTTCAAGTGAAGACCGCGGCACCATTCGTGATGTGGGAGGGTGAACGTACAGGATGCGCAGAGGGTTGGAGCCAATCACATCGACGTCAAACGTGGTGAGCTTGTTTCCGTCGAGCTTCCTGTTTCCGAGAATGCGCGCATGATGTGATGTGAGTGTGTTTGCGTGGGGTCTGAAATGACATGACACGCGACGGCACTGAAGTTGGTTCCCAGCAGGGCAAGCCCCTGAACTCACAGCGTGGCAAGGACGGTCTGACGCGAGAATATGGTGGCAGGAAGCGATTCAAGGTCGTTGTCGGAGAGCACCCTGCGTCGTCGCCCGTGACACATGTGATTGCAATGTTGAAATGAGCGATCAGCAGGGTCAAGCAAGTGCCGGACCGCAATGACCAGACCGTTCACACACGCAAGTCCAGGTTATGAAGACACATGGTGCTACGATACAGAATGTAATGCAAACAACTTGACCAGCACACACACACGCATGCATGCATGCCGTGACATACAATGTGGTCAAGTTCGTCAACGGCTCAAAGACACTGGCAGCCAGTGCAGCGAAGCGGTTGGCAGTCAGGTCCCTGCAGTGACACACACACACACATACATGCACGTGCATATGCAGAGAGCACGATTAACGGTAGGTGGTAAGTGGTGCGCGCCACGGCACAGTCGTGCGGCGCCACTTATGTACATAACACGCAGCAGCCTTACAGCATGCAGCACGAGAGAGTGGCCAGGGTCGTGATCAACGTACAGAGTGCGGAGGGCGCTTGCACCAGCAAAGGCAAGGCCAGAGATGAAGGAGAATCGGTTGCCCGACAAATCCCTGCATGGACAAGCGGAAGTGGTGGTGCGCAAGGATGGTGGGTTCAAACGGTGAGTTGAGAAAGGGGCATGCAGTTGCTTGAGCGCGCACGCAGGCGCATTTGTGTGTGTGTGTGTGTGTGTGTGTGTGTGTGTGTGTGTGTGTGTGTGTGTGTGTGTGTGTGTGTGTGTGTGTGTGTGTGTGGCTGAATAAGCATCGCAAACACGGCAGGCAGGGGTGATATTCTTTGTTGTTGGGTGCACGGTCACTTGTAGCGTTTGCTTGCGCGCCATCACGAAGCATCAACGGCTTACAGCGTCTTGAGGTTGTCGTGTGCAAAAGCTCGATCGGCAAGGTGCGTCAGCTTGTTGTCCGCCAATGTCCTGCGACACACACGTGATGGTAAGGAGGAGGGGGATGCAAGCTCATGAGGGCTTGATTGATGCGAAAAGGGAGTCGTGCTCAGCAACATGTATCCTTGCACGAGCTCACATCACACGGGAAGACAAACCATCGGCAACATCTTGTCCCCATGTGAACACACACAAGCAACAAGCACATGATCGTTTGCAACTGCACAGGGGCAACATACACTTCTTCCAAGGTGGGGACGCCGGCAAACATCTCTGTTTCAATCTCCTCCATGAGATTGTTGTCCAGATGCCTGCGCCGTCAAGAGCAGGGCAGTGCGATGGTTGTGTGTTTGAAGCCGTCTCACAACATCAGGAGACAGAGAGAGAGAGAGAGAGTATGTGTGTGCGTGATTGTCTTCCCTTTGTTCCGTCCCCACTTCCTCCAACTGGATATGTGCCTCGTCACTCACAGTGTTCGAAGTGCAGGAATGTTTGTGAAGAAGGTGAGGTTGCGCAGCTTGTTCTCGGTCAACGATCTGCGGAATGGTGGAGTGGAACAAGGCAGAAAAGAATACATGCGCGTACGCACATGCACACGTGCACATAGCAGCATACGCATGAACGTCCGCATATCACAATGGACTGCGCTGTAGCGCTGTTGAGGACTGCAAAGACAAAACGATTGCTGAAAGCCACTGACCCATCCGTGCAAGGGTGCGACATGACGCGAGCGAGCGAGCGACACAAGTGCAATGACCAGTTTGTGACGTGACACGTACAGCGTTTCGAGGCTCTCCATGCCGGAGAAGGCGCCTGGTTCCAGCGTATGCAGGCCATTGCCATCCAGGTACCTGAACACAAGCAAGCGCATTGCGAGCCTGTGAGGCTACAACAATTGACCAAGGGCTGCATGCAGTGTGGCCTTGAACAGACAGCTGGTGAAGCACCCTCGATGGCTGGATGCAACGTGACAACCCGTCAAGCACGACATCAACTTACAGCACGCGGACGTTCGTGAGTGTGTTGAACACTTGGCCAGGGATCCTCGTGATGTCATTGTGTGCCAGGGCCCTTGACAAACGGAAGGGATGCAGATGTGAACGGATAAACAGGTACGCACACAACCGTACACACACACACACACACGCGCACACACAACCGTACATACACACGCACGCACACACACACGCGCACACACAACCGTACATACACACGCACGCACACAACCGTACACACACACACACACACACACACACACACACACACACACACACACACCACCACCACCACCACCACCACCACCATACAAACACACTCACAGGACGGTGGTCTCGACGGGAATGTTTGTTGGAATGTCGTCAAAGCCGGCGCTGGTGCAGTCCACGAAGCGGTCCGGCAAGCTTTCATAGCATGCGCAGCGTGCACTCAACCCACCGGCTGTACACGCATCCGTACCTGCAGCAGCATCGACAATCGACACAAGGGTGCAAATGATTGAGACAGGTCGTCATGTGTGCTGAAAAGGGGACAGATGTGAACGAAACAGGCAACACAGTGCTGCAAGCAGAGAAGGAGGGACAAGAATGACTCGGAAGACTCAACCACATCGTGCGGGTACCATCAGCGCTCTCCTCACTTTGGCTTTGCGCGCGGTCAGCAGACAGCGCTGCTACCACAAACAGCAGCAACGCCGCCGCTCGTGTTTGTCTCTCCATGCGTGTGTGTGTGTGTGTGTGTGTCGTGTTGTGTTGTGTTCGATGCAGCTTGTGGACTTGAACACCGATGTTGAGGTGACAATGGCAGGAGGTGGGGTAGTGGGCTGTTCGTGTTTGGATGAGGCCTTGTTGGTGTTGGTGGTTGGCAACACACGCCCGAAAAACAACAATACAAAACAAGCAGCAGCAAAACAACGCTGCAGGGTTTAAGGGAACGGCTTTTATGAATGCTGTCAACGAGAATCACAGCACCTCAAACTTCACGCCAGCACCCTGTTGTGTGTGTGTGTGTGTGTGTGTGTGTGTGTGTGTGTGTGTGTGTGTGTGTGTGTGTGTGTGTGTGTGTATGTGTGTGTGTGAGGGTTGCGGGAAAGGGGAAGACACAAGATCAACGTGCACGCGTTGTTCAAACATGTTACGAGGCGTGGCACCAACACCGATGTTTGCATTTGTGGTTGCGTACGTTAAGGCGCTGAAGGATGTCGGTGTGGCGAAACGCAGTCGCGGACGTCAGCACGCCCCTCGGCACCTTGCCTTCGTTTCCGATCACTGGCGTGTGGTGCGTTGTGAACGTCATGACGTGGACATGATTAGCGAGAGAATGGCCAACGAGGAAACTGACGCTGACAAAACAGAGTGGACTACACAAACGTGCATACATGCACGCACGCACGCACAAAAAGGTTGCAACACGCACGCACACATTTGCACATACACTACAACAAACACACACACACAGTACAGTACAGCGTGGCACAGGCAAACCGTACGAGCGAGCGCGCATTGCACGATGCAGATGGGCGTGGCGACGTAACCGGGCTCGGGGCCGCTCACACGCGTCTTCACCTGTTGTAGAGCATCACGTGCAAGGACAGGACGCGGCGTGACTAGCGTGTTGTTGGTGTTGCTGCTGCTGCTGTGGCAGGCTCGAACCCCAAAGGACAGGAGCATGGCTGTTGTATACACACAGGTCAAAGGTGGATCGTACCGTCACGTCTGGGGCGCCCCGCGCCTCGGCGGCAGCAGCGGAGGTGTAGCCCTTTGCCACAAAGTTCATCTCAAAGCTGGTGGCGCGCATCTGCTCCTCCGTCGGGCCGTCGTGAGTGAACCTGAAGTGTGTGCACGCGTCGTTGGGATTGGCAGTGGAAGACAAGGATACAGTTGAAGGGTTTGTGCAAAGGAGCAGCGAAGGAAGGTCGTGAGAGGTGAGCGGACCAACACACGCAGACACACGGGGAGAGAATTTGGGCGTGCATTCCGAGATGACGTACACGCCGAGGGTGAAGAGCTCTGGGAACTTGAGGAGGAGGGAGCGGCCGAACGAGAAGTTGGCCAGCGCCCCAAACACCGTCCCCGCAGCCTGGCGTGTGCGTGCGTGCGTGCGTGCGTGCGTGCGTGTGTGTGTGTGTGTGTGTGTGTGTGTGTGTGTGTGTGTGTGTGTGTGTGTGTGTGTGTGTGTGTGTGTGTGTGAGTCAAAGAAGCAAGGAAGCAGGTCGGCAAACGAATGCACACGCGAAGAACACATGTGCAGACACAGGCACAGGCACATGCACATGCACAGGCACAGGCACACAGATACACACACACACACACACACACACACACACACACACACACACACACACACACACACACACACACACACGAAGTAGTTGACTCTCCCCCCCATCTGATAGTAATTATGGGGCGTGTTTTCGTAAAAGCTTGAATTACATAAGGGTGTGAAACGTCGAGTGGGATCGAAAACCGTGCCTCGCATTGGTCAACGAGGACTGGCCTCCGTGCAGGCATAGGTCATTTAGCTCAGATACGCTTGGCGAGCAACAGAGACAAAACAGGAGCGGACACTATCTACACCTCTAATTCGTTACAAACTGTCCCTTGGTCTGGCTAGATGCCGTAGCGGCACCCGATATCGCGGGGATTCTCAAGGTTCATTGCCCAGGCGTGACGACGACGACGACGACGACACACATACACACACACACACACACACACACACACACACACACACACACACACACACACGCACACACACACCATCATAACGCCAGTCCAGAAGCCGCTGGGAAGGCTGAACCAAGCTGCGTACTGCACGGGCTGCACCTCGGCACCGTGGGCCTGCAGGTACTGCTGCGACCTGAAGACCACAACAGCAACAACAAAGCAAGCGGGCACAGATCACCGTGTATGTGGGGTCGTTATGACAGGAGTCTCGAACGAGAGACGCAATGGACGTGCACGCAATCAGGGCGTCACCTGCGGACGATGGACGCGTCTGATCCGGGGAAGGGGATGCAGTACCCGTGGCCGTCCTCGCGCCACTCCGGCAGCATGCCAGGGCTGATGGTGGTGGTGGTTTGGCAAAGGAGAAGGTTGGGGAGGCAAAAGGGAGGAAGTGAGTTTGGTCGGGTGCAGCACAGAGACACAGGGAAGGGCAGGGGCACATGTACACAGAGATATACTCACAGAAAGACAGGGAGACACCCAAATGCGTATGCAATGTACAGAAAAGCAAACACACAAAAAAAAAAACACAGACAGACACACACACACACACACACACACACACACACACACACACACACACACACAAACAGACAGATAGACCGACCGACCGACAGACAGACAGACAGACAGACAGACAGACAGACAGACAGACAGATAGACACACAGACAGACAGACAGACAGACACACACACACACTCAAACAAACAACCAAACCAGCAACAGACCGCTTGAGCTTCCTGCCGACGACGGGGACGGTGACTTTGCCCTTCTTGCGACGCAGATCCCGCAGCTCGCCCGCAGAGGCAAAGCCATGCACGGCTGACTCAAACGTGGCAAAGTGGACCTTCGTGCCAGCCTCCCCTGCACACAAACGAAGGGTACACATGAGTCACCATCAACATCATCGCCACCACAACCCTCTCCCTCCCTCCCTCCCTTCTTCCTTCCCTTCTCCTGCTCCCTCACTCTTGCTCCTCAGCATCATGATATCGGCACCTGATTTGATCTGCAGGAAGGATTCAACGGAGGATGGGATCTGGCCGTTTGTAAACTGTTTCACAGTGAACATGGTGCCCAGATCTGCGGGGATGCTGTCAAATCCGCACGCGCTGATGATTGTTGCTCCCTGGCAGGTGGGCATGTGAGAACGGACAGTCGGTAAGCTGAGACAATGGCATAGCAATGGAAAGGCATTCACCACAAGCAACACCTGCAGCGTAGCTGGAAGCAAGTGTGTTGTGCTGTGTGCTCTTGTGCTGTTCTGTCTCTGTCTGTGTGTGTGCGTGTGCGTGCGCGTGTGTATGTGTCTCTCAGTCTTAATCTGTCTGTGTGTATGTCTTTTTCTGTCTCTCTGTCTCTCTCTGTCTCTCTCTGTCTCTCTCTGTCTCTCTCTGTCTGTCTCTGTCTGTCTCTTTCTCTCTCTCTCTCTCTCTCTCTCTCTCTCTCTCTCTCTCTCTCTCTCTCTCTCTCTCTCTCTCTCTCTCTCTTACACATACACACACTCTCTCTGCGCGTGTACCGTTTGGCGAGCTTGCTCGTCGTAGAGGTACTCCATGCGCTCGATAAACTCTGGTTCGCCGCAGATGTCGAGGTAGTGCGTGCCGACGGCAGCGCATGCCTTGACGACAGGCTCGCCGAAGAACCGGTATGGGCCGACACAGTTGAGGCACACCCGCGCCTGCTGCGCCATGGCGACGATGCTCTCCTCATCCTTGACGTCTGCCACAATCACAGGGTAGTTGGTGCCCAGCTTCCGGTTCAGTGCCGCAAGCTTGTCCGCCCTAGGTGTGTGTGTGTGTGTGTGCGTGTGTGTGTGTGTGTGTGCGTGTGTGTGTGTGTGTGTGTGCGTGCATGAACGGGAGGTGTTTACAGGTGGCATTGGTTGTTTACACAAGTCAGCGATGACACACGCACACACACACACAAGCACAGACACACAGACACACACTCAACCACACATGCAGCCACACGCACACACACACACACAGACACACAGACAGACAGACAGACAGACAGACAGACAGACAGACACACAGACACACGCACACACACACACACACACACACACACACACACACACACACAAACAGCTTACGATCGACCGGAGATGGCAATGGACTTGTCCTGGACAGTACCCCGCAAATACTGCACAACATACTGGCCCGTAAAGCCCGTGGCTCCAAACACAACAATGTCCACAGCCCGCGGCTGCTGCGTCTTCTTCGCCTCGCTCATGATGAGATGTTGAGATGCGATGTTGAGATGCGATATTGATGTGATGGGGGGTGAGTGAGGAGTGCGTGTTGTTGCTCCTGCCCAGTCAGTCAGTGTATGTGTTATGTGTCGCTCTGTCGTCATGCACTCATTTCCTGTCATGCGTGTTTTGCAGTGTCCCAGTCTCACAACAACGCCACCACCACAACGCCACCGCCAGTGGTTGCCTGGAGAGGACAGCTGTTGACGGGTGGCGATGTAAGGGGCAAGCGAGCAAGACGCAGAAGAACACGCCGCGCCGCACGCAAGCAAGCCAGTGTCATCAGCACGCTTGCTTTGAGCAGCAGTGCAGGTTTTGTCCCACCACGCATTGGTTGCGCGGGTGCAGGCCCAATTGCTGGGTGGTGTGACAGTGACTGAGCAACTACGGATGTCGCCTCACACACAACGCACCCCCCACACAGCACAGCACACAGCACAGCAGGCGGAGAGCGTGACTTGCTGTCGAGCAGCGTGCGTGCGTGGTCGTGGACGTTTGCGTGTGAGCGAGCGGGGGAGTGAGTTTGCTCTGTCGTTGTCTGTGCGCTCAGCACCGCCACTCACCACCACGCCACACGCAGCCCACCACAAGTAAAGAGAGCGAGGGGAGCGAGCGGAGAGTGTGATTTGACCATCGGCATCAACACACAACCAGCACGGCGCACAGCCAAGGCACAGCTCACAACGAACGCGCCGCAACCAATTGACAAAACAGCAGCACCAACAGCACAACCACAGCGACAACAACCACAGCAGCACCAACAGCAGTACAACCACAGCTGCAACAAGAGCAGCACAAACACGGTGACAACAACCACAGCAGCACCAACACAGCAGCACCAATACAGCATCATTCAACCTCCCCAAACAAACACGCACACGCAGTCAGCAGCACCAGTCATGGCCACCCGCTGTTTGGCCAAGAGAGCCAACACGCAGAGGTGGCAGGCTGCATCTCCCAGCGCAGCACCGCCACATCGGTTGCTGTTGCTGCTGCTAGCAGCACTCGCTGTGGGCTGCATCTGTGCTCACGCCACCACGCCGAACAGCGCCACAGCGCAGAGCAGCCACCGAAACAACCAAAACACCCCTTTTGGTCGGCTCACGCCCTGTGGCGCCACAAGCAACTGCGCGCAAGTCGTGCACCAGCAGCGACAACAGCAGCAGCAACAGCAGCAGCAACGACAGCAGCAACGACAGCAGCAGCAACACCAGCAAACTGCATCGTCAACGTCATCGTCGTCGTCATCACAGCACAGGACCATCGCCATCAACGATGAGGCGGAGGGTGGTAGTGCGCACGTTCAGCTGGTGCTCGAGGCGGACGCGCGCAACGTGCACCCGCAGCTGACGGCAGACACAGGGGTGCAGTTCTGGCATGGGACTGTGCAGGGGGAAGAAGGGTCTGTTGTGCGATTGTCCACCGATGCCAACATGTGCATTCGGTCTGGGCTGGTCATCCACACCATGGCGTCAACAATGCAGGCGTCCTGGTTCCAGCAGTCCCAGCACACGAGTGCATTCGCAGTTCTGGAGCGAGCACAAGACGCCCCACCCAACGACCAACAACAACACCAACAACAGCATCAGCAACGGCAAGAACAGTACCAACAACAACAACAGCAGCAGCAGCAGCAGCAGCAGCAGCAGAATGACAGTCGTGCAGGCAGCGATGATGGCGTTGCTGTGGAGTGCCCGCACGTGCACATTCGTCGACTGACACTGGAAGAGGTTCAGGCCTTGAAGGACATGGCCCCGGATCCAACCCACGCGCACAGCAATGCCACTACTGAGCACGGAGCTGCGCCACACAGCCACGATCATGTTGGCACATGCACGCCTGCACAGGAAGTGGCCTTGTCCGAGCTGCTCCACGACGGCGACGATGGCGATGCTGCCGGCCCCTCGCATCGTGCGCGCCGCGCGTCTGTGGTGGCGACTGGAGATGGGCAGCCGGGGCCCGACCACATCACGTGCAGCGTGTTCCTCGATGCGGACGCGTCGTTCCTGCGGGCGTGGGGCGGCGTCGGCTCGCTCGCCCAGCGCAAGCAACGCGCCCTGCTCAAGATGGTGGACATCCTCTTCCAGGTGGACGGGCTGTACCAGCACCATGACAACCTCGCCAACATCCTCACTTTCCGCATTGCCGGGGCCGCGGTGCACGATGCTCTGGAGCTGTCCACCATCCCCATCACCGCCGGCGCATCAGCAGACGTCGCCTCCCGCGTGCTGCAGCAGTACCAGCGCTGGCTCGCACGCAAGGAGCGCGCCCGCGGTGACGGGTACCTAACGGCCCAGCAGGTCTGCCTCAACCACCTCTTCACCCACACCAACCTGGACGGCGTGCTGGGCGTGGCCGTTCAGGCGTCCACCGCGAGCACGGTTGTTGGCGGGCTGTGCGAGTCGCGCATTGCACAGGGGCGCAGCCTCAATGCCGGCATCAGCACCACGAAATCTGCGCGTGAGATCCCCGTTGCAACGTGGCAAACCGTCCTCTCCACTGCACACGAGGTGCGTGTGGAGGGCGAAGCTAATGGAGGTGGGGGGGGGGGAGGAGGCAGAAGGAAAGGGTTGGGGGTGGGTGGGTGTGGGTTTCTTGGTGCATGTTGCTGGTGGTGGTGGTGGTGGTGGTCGTGTCGTTGTTGCTGGTGATTGTTCTGGTTTTGTTGTTCTGTGTTCCGCGTTGTGTTGTGTGCTCTCTTTTGTCTCACTGTTTTCCTTTCCTTCTGTGACGATGGCTTGGCTGACGTGTGCTGACGTGTTGCTCGTCCTTACCCGCCTGTTTCCCCTTTGCCGCTGTGTCATTTCTTGCTGTGTGCCTGCTTCCAGTTTGGCCACAACGTCGGCGCACGACACACGTGCGACTTGAGCGACACGTCCGCCTCCTACTGTCCCTCCGTGGAGGGCACAAAGTGCCATCCAACGCTCGAGCAGGTGCATTGGAGTGTGTGTGTGTGTGCGTGTGTGTGTGTGCGTGTGTGTGTGTGTGTGTGTGTGTGTGTGTGTGTGTGTGTGTGCGTGCGTGTGTGTGTGTGCGTGTGTGTGTGTGTGTGCTGTGTCTCCGTCTTTCGAGGTTGATGGTGGCTTGTTAGTGGTAATTGAGAGCTGGGTCCAAGTTCATGGCAGCGGACAGCTTGTCGCCATCTTCTTCCTTTGCCATATGTGTGCCTCCCTTCCTTGTTCATCCATGTAGCCTCACCACGACCCCAACACGTGCTCGTCTTGCCCCCCCCCCCTCTTCCTTTCTTTTCCCCTTCTTTCTTCTGTGCTTGTCAGGGCGGCCCATATCTGATGTATCCCGCCATTGCACTTGAGAACACGCACCGCAATGCCCAGTTCTTCAGCCCGTGCAACATCGACGCCATCACCGCTGTGCTTGCCGTCAAGGGCGGCTGCCTGGAGGAGGCGCACCCGTGCAACGACCTCACCGACAACGGGCCGTGCTGCCTGGGCAACCGCTTCCTCCCCTCCGGCGTCGTATGTCGCGAGCTGACGGCGCAGGAGGCCGAGTGCAAACTACCTGGCCTGTGCACGGGGAGCACGGCAGAGTGCCCGGCGTACCAGCACAAGGACAACGGAACCCCATGCCGGTTCCTGGATACCGACGGCGGCACCATCGGTCACGGCGCATGCCAACAGGGGAGATGCATGCACCTGCACGACGCCTTCTGTGCGGATTTGGGCCTCTTTGGCTGCAGCCACTACACTGCCGAGTGTGCAGTGTCGTGCTCCAGTGCCCGTGGAGGCCTCTGCCGCCCTTACAGCCCGAGCTGCCGCAACCTGATTAATGCAACCACCCCAACGCAGACGTGGGTTGCCGGCGGCATGTGTCCTGTGCCGACGGGCGATGCCTGCACTTCGCACAAAGGGTATGTCGGCACGTGTGCGGCCAATGGGGAGTGCGCGTGCACAGCGGAGGACTGCACGGCCCCGCGCCCCGACAGCAGCAACCACGAGTACACGTGCGACTACGCCGTCACGCTGACAAACCCGTGCGACCAGCCCTGCAACACCGGCGAACAGGTGTGTGTGTGTGTGCATGTGTGTGTTTGCATGTGTGTGCATGTGTGTGCATGTGTGCGCGTGTGTGTGTAGTTGTGTGCATGTGTGTGCATGAGCATGCGTGCGTGTGTGTGTAGTTGTGTGCATGTGTGCATGAGCGTGCATGAGCGTGCGCGTGTGTGCGTGTGTGTGCGTGTGTGTGCGTGTGCGCGTAACCTCATGTTTGTCGTGCAGATTACGCTCACAATGTGTACATGCCATTGCACTTCTTTTGCAGTCTGTGTTCTACCAATGTATGTGTGAGGACAGTGGATCTCGCATGGCCGTCAACGCCTCGTTTTGCTCCTGGCGCGTCCCTCGTACGTTCACCTAACCACAGTTGTGTGCTTGTATTGTTTGGATGGGGTTGCTTGTTTTGAGTTGGCGCACCCCCATCTCCTCCCTCACACGCACACACACAACACAACACACACACACACACACACACACACACATACACACACACACACACCTTCTCTGGGTGCAATGCTAATTTGCGACACTGCGGTGTCTCTTCTCCACACGTTCCCCGCACCAACTTCGCGTTGCTGCAGCTGCTGATCGGCGCACTTGCCAGCACACTTCATGCGAGGCTGCCCAGCAAGAGTTTCTTCGTGTCGTCATCTCGCCACTTCGCACCATCGACGCCGTACAAATCATGCTGTCACAGGTATGTGCTTTGTGAATGTTTGTGTGTTTGTGTGTGTGTATGTGTATGTATGTGCACGTTTGTGTGCATGTGTATGTGTGTGCGCGCATGGGTGCACGTTTGTGTGTGTGTGTGTGCGCATGGGTGCACGTTTGTGTGTGTGTGTGTGTGTGTGTGTGTGTGTGTGTGTGTGTGTGTGTGTGCATGTGTGCACGTTTGTGTGTGTGTGCGTGCATGTGCATGTGTGTGTGTGCATGTGCATGTGTATGTGAATGAACACCAACGTCGTGTGCGCAACGTGGTATCATCATGAACTTTCCAGGCACTCGGCTTCCCGGTGTCGGTCAGCACCCTCGCGCAGGGCTCCAACGAGACAGCCTTGCAGCTGTGGGCCTGCAGGACAGACAACACGGGCTGTCTCTCCGCTAACCAGCTCATTGCCGTCCTGGTCGAGCCCGCTGTCACCTCCGCCGTCCACAGCGCAGGTACGTGTGTTGTGTTGTGTTGTGTGTGCGTGTTTGTGTGTTTGTGTGCGGTGTAAGAATTCAGCTTTGCATGTATGTGTGTGCAAGCCGACACACCATGGAGGAGATCTTCACAAAGGCTGCTACATGTTCTCTGTGTGCATGGCATGCATTGGTGCGTGCATTTCCAAGAACTATTCTCACCCATTTTACTTCTTTGATTTGTCATTTGAACAGGATTCTCTGTGGATGATGTGAGTCGTATTGAGGAGACATCAGGCCCCAACACGGTCATCATCATCGCAAGTGCGTACTTCGAGAGCAACCACCTTCCTTGCACCCCCACGCTCCGGTGCTTGCTTGCATGCATGCTGACTTCTTTCCCATGTGCGAAAGGGGCAGCACGACCTCCTTTGCTCACCTTTGCATGGCCCATGCCCAACACTTGTTGTTTCGCAGTTGTTGTGGCAGTTGTAGCCGTGCTTGCCACCGCCGCTGCTGTCGGCTTGTTCATCCACTATTCCAACAAAACCAAGCAATACCAAGCACAACTCTCTCTTGAGGTACCCATTGTGTCTGCGTGTTTCTGTGTGTGCGTGCGTGCTTTTGTGTGTGTGTGTGTGTGTGTGTGTGTGTGTGTCTGACTCTGTCTCTCTCTGTCTGTCTCTCTCTGTCTGTCTCTCTCTCTCTCTCTCCCTTGTCCCCTCTCCTCTTTCTCTGCCCACTCCACAATAAGGGTGATTTTGGTTTGTGTTTCACGTTGGCGGCAGCTCACGTCAAAGAACCCTGTTGGTCCACATCACGTTGCACGTTGGCAGGAGGATGATGCGCTCGTGTTCTTGCAGGCCGGTGGCACCGCAAAGCAGGAGCTGCGCCGCTCTGTGCGCAGCAGCGTGCGCAGCGGTCCCTATGCCGGCACCAAACACCACCACCAGCCTCCTCCTCCACATCCTCTTCACCAGCAGCAACAGCAACAGCAGCTGCACATCGGGTCGTCACCGCTTGCCCACCAGCTCGCTGCTGCATCTGTGCCGGATATGAGTGGCGTCCCACTTCCACCGTACACGCCGCCCGCGGACGAGCTGGTGTATGAGGAGCTGTACCACAACAGGGACTTCCACCCTGGTTATGACAGCGCCGAGTACACGGGCACAGTTGATTTTGGCAGGCGGCACCCTGACGAAGAAGGCGGCGACGTTAGTGGGCAGCATGTTGTGTACCACCGTGCCGATGGCGTGTATGACGATGACGATGGGTTCATTGACGACGAAGGCGAAGCGACTGCGCTGGGAGGCGGCGGCAGGCATGGCGGCCAAGACCAGTGCCACCCTCTGCATGAGGATGACGCGCTGGAGGAGGAGGAGGAGGAGGAGGTCGAGGGGCAGCCCAGGCCTGTGCCGCCGCACAGGGACACGCACTGCAGCGGGGCGTATCATGGCTCCAGGCCTCCGCCGTCGTATGATGACACGCCGCTCTATGTGGGAACCGGCACAGGCAGCATACGCACGAACACAACCACAAGTGTACGGAGTGTCGCACTCCTCGCTGCACTGCAGTCTGCGCCAACCAGTTCTTTCTGACGTGAGAGGGAAGAGAGAGAGAGAGAGAGAGAGAGAGAGAGAGAGAGAGAGAGAGAGAGAGTGAGAGAGAGTGAGTGTGTGTGTGTGAGTGTGTGTGAGCGTGTGGCACAGAAGATTGTTGTATGCCGATCTCTTGTAAATGATATCAGTAAATTTTCCACAATCACAACAAAGCAGACCAACAACAACAAACAGCACTGACACTGCCACTGAACGCACAACAAGAAGGTACCAACCAACCACTGGGATGCGCTTCGTGCAGTTTGTGGAGCAAGGCCAGGCGGACGCCAAGGTGAGAGGGAAGCAAGCTCATACAGTGTCAGTTTTGTTCATGCAGTCGCTGCCGTGGTTGTGCATGTGTGTTTATGAGTAAACGGTTGGTTTGGGGGGTTGCTTGCTCACTCCAAACCCACTGCGTCGCAAAACACAAACAATAGCCGCGTTTTGGCGTGCAGGTCAGCGATGGCGGTGACATCGTCGACGTCACGGCCACCGACAAGACCATCCCAGCAACCACCCTCGACGTGTTGCGTGGAGGAGACGCCGTCATTGAACGCGTTCGGGCGTACGTTGAACAACATAGCCAGCGGGATGGAGGGAGTTGGGGAGTGTGTGTGTGTGTTTGTGTGCATGAAGTCGCACGCGCGCGTGCGTGTGTGCACACGCGTATGTGTTCGTGTGTATGAAGTCACGTGCGCGCGCGCGTTGGTGTGAATGTGTGTATCAAGTCGTGTGCGTACTTGTATTCGTGCGGCGTGGAATATGCTTAGATGTGTCCTTCCTGTTTACCTGCCCGTCGTTCCCATTGGCAGTGCCGTTGAGAGCAAGGCGAACGTGATCAAGGCTGCAGATGCAGTCATCAAGGCGCCCATCTACGATTGCGAGAAGGTCATCTGCATCGGCATGAACTACGTCGACCACTGCACCGAGCAGGTAGCGCACCTTGCCGCTTGTGGAGGGTGGATGGCAATCATCGCCACCATGGCTTTAGTGCTTTGGATGAGGCTGTGTGTTCAGCTTGTACCAGCTCACATCGGCATGCTCATTAAATGTATGCAGAACCTGCCTGTGCCCAAGGAGCCGCTTGTTTTCTCCAAATTTGCCTCCAGCATCGCAGACCCTGGTGCAGACATCATCAAGGCGCCAGTCGTCGAGGTGTGCGTGTGTGTGTGTGAGTGTGTGTGAGTGTGCGTGTGAGTGTGAGTAAGTGCGTGTGTGTGTGAATGCGTGTGTGTGTGTGCGTGTGTGCGTGTGTGTGTGTGTGTGTGCGTGCGTGTGCGTGCGTGTTCGTGTTCGTGTGAGCTAGGTGACTTACTCACTGCAGTTGCGTGCAAGTACATGCTGGTGCTTGCGTGTACAATGACATGAAGAGGCTCTCCAATCCCAAACATATTCAAAGCTCCCTCGTTCACACACACACATGTTCAAACGTGCTTCTCCTGTTAACTGCAGAAACTCGACTTTGAGGTTGAGTTGGCAGTTGTGATTGGCAAAGAAGCACACCGCGTCAAGGTAACGCCTGTTATCAGAGCGGGTGATGGCGGTGGCGTGAACCCTGTGATCTCCGTTGGCTTTCATCCAATTGTGCAAACGAATTCATTGTCACTCTGTGTGTGCGTGTGTGTGTGTGTGTGCAGGCAGCGGAAGCTATGGAGTATGTGGCTGGATACACGGTCGCGCACGACGTCAGCGCCCGCGATTGGCAGCTGGAGAAGAACGGGGGCCAGTGGCTCATCGGCAAGGTTAGTGGGAAGAAGACGGAATGAGAGACAAACGGACCGGGGAGTGTTGGTGAGGTTTACATGGGGTGGGATTGGAAGTCCACACACGTTCAAGCGGTTCTCTCAGATCGTTACTCATGCCAGCCCCTTCACCCCTGCGTGTTGCGCACGCCCCTCTCATCGCATGCATGTGCGCCCACTGCTTCATCATGGCCACCGCCGCCAGACGTTTGACACATTTGCACCCATTGGTCCCGCCATCGTCACCCGCGACGACCTTGCCGATCCCCACAACGTCTGTGCAATCGCTTTGTGTCCGACCCGAATGCACGACGCTTCCGTGGCTTGTCTCATGCCTTGTATTTGTTTGTTTGTTTGTTTGTTTGTTTGTTCATGCGGCTGTGCATTTGTTTGTTTGTTTGTTTGTTTGTGCGGGTGTACAGCTTGGGATCCGGTGCCGCGTCAACGGCGAGACGATGCAGGACAGCAACACCAACCAGCTCGTCTTCAAGACAGAGACCATTATCGAGTGGATCACCCAGGTGCTTGCCGTGTGTGTGTGTGTGCGATACAACTTTGCCTCTTTATGTGTGTGTGTGTGTGTGTGTGTGTGTGTGTGTGTGTGTGTGTGTATGCTGGGGCGTGCGTTTCGCCATTTTGTGTTCGTGGCCACCAGCCATTCCCCTCATCCCACATTTCATCACCACGATGATTTCTCTTCTTCAGTTTGTGACGCTGAAGCCTGGTGACATCATCCTCACTGGCACACCGCCAGGCGTCGGCTGCTTCCGCAAGCCGCCAGTCTGGCTTAAGGTGAGAGCTGTTCCTTGATGTGGTGCTTTTGAGTGTACTCTGTCGTGCACACATGTGTTGTCGTTCACACATGTGTTGTAGTTCACACACGTGTTGTTGTGTACGCACGTGTTGTCGTTCACATGCCCCCTTCATCCCCTTGCTTCTGCTGCTGTCAGGATGGCGACGTCGTGGAGGTTGAGATTGACTCCATTGGCTGCATCTCAAACACCGTCCGTGAGAAGTAAACACACCTTCGCCGCTGAACGCACCCGGCTTGGTGTGTGTGTGTGTATGTGTGTGTGTGTGTGTGTTTGTTTGTTTGTGTGTGTGTTTGTGTGTGTTTGTTTGGGTGCATTTCTCTCCCCCTCCCACCTTTTCCGTGCCTGTGCGCGTTGTTTCTTCTCCGTTCAGGATTCGTGGGTGTTATTCATGTTTCTTGCCAGAGCAATACACGCTGACAATCAACACGACCGTCAAACGAAATCGTGCAGCCCACAGGGAAATGGGGAGGATTGAACGTGCTGTTGCGACCCTGGGCATGTGTGTGCGGAGCACACGTACGTCTGCACGGCTTCGTCTTCTCCTCGTTCTTCTACGACACGCGTCTGCGTGATCAAAACCCGTACCGCTGCCGTGCGGCCCTGCGTGCCGCTGCGCTGTGTGCCCACTTGGTCTGCAGCTCCTGCTCGCGGGCCCGCGCCTCAGCCGCCAAATACGTGATCTGATGCTTCCGGCGCTCCATCCCCTTTGGTACGTCCGCCTCCTGATGGTGGTGAGAATGGGAGTGAGTGAGAGCGCGTGAAAGTGTGTGAGGTGTGAGGTGCGTGAGTGAGTGTGAGTGAGTGCGTTTGCGTGAGCGTGTAGGCGTGTGTACCTTTGTGTACAAGTGTGCGCACATGCGTGAATACATGTGTACACACACACGTGCATAAGCACACGCAGGCGTGGTGCAAACGCAAGCGTGCATGCATATGGTGTTGTTCTCATTACCAGGCTGCTCTTGGGCGTTGTGTCGGTGCTGTTCTTCGTCTTTGCTCGCCACTCGTCAAATGTGTCCCTGTCGAGCGTCAAGAGCAGGTGAGTTGGGCACGTGGCCTGAGAATGAAGCAGGCACACATGAATGCAAGCAAGGCACAACTTACAGGCAGATAAGAGAGGCCCCAAGAGACAAGCGGGCTCATATCCACGCACACACACACACACACAAGCACATATAAGCACGCAGACAGGCACAGATATAAGCACACAGACACACGCACACAGACACACAGACATACACACAGACATACACAGACATACACACACACACACACACACACACTTGTGCCAACCTTCGTTCGCGATCGTCGACGTTGACGAGTTTGATGGCGCCGTGCCCCTCGCGTCGGCCGAGAAACCGCTTCAGCTGCGCAAATGGAAGGAGGGGTGCAATGCGGGTGACGGTCAGCAACACAAAGCCGGCATGGTGACCAAACACAGACACACACACACACACACACACACACACAGACACACACACACACAGACACACACACACACACACACACACACACACACACACACACACACACACACACACAGACAGAGACACACAAACGAACCTCTTCGTCCTCCTCGGTGACGACAAGCTTGGATGTGGTGCCGTGCGCGCTTTGTTGTTCTTGGTATTGTTGTTGCTGTTGCTGCTGTGATGTCACGACCTGTGGTGCACGCCCGTAGCCAAACTTGGGCTTGCCCTTTGGCACGGGTGCTGATTGGTATTGGCTGTGCATGTCGTATGATGGTGGCGGCGGCAGGCCGCTTACCGGCGCCGCCGTCACGGACGTGGACGCGATGCGATATTGGGTCTGACGGCGCACGGAAGCAGAGAAGCTGCTGGCACGTGCACCGCTCACCCCACCTTCGCCATCGTCGTCATCATCACCGTCATCATCGCCGTCGTCGTCGTCGGCCACCAATCCAAACCGGTTGGCCGGCCTGGCAGCGGTGGCTGTGTGCTTTGAAGTCGAGGTGGCGGGTATCCCCGCTGCTTTCTTCTGCAGCTGACGCGGCTGCAGCGACGACGCCGCAGTAGAGGATGATGACGACGATGCCGCTGCCGATGAAGCAGCTGCGACTGTCGATGTGGTTGATGACGAGGACGCACCTGGGCCTGTGGATGCTGGCTTGCTGGTGGTGGTGGTGGTGGTGGTGATGCTGCTCCTCTGCACTTTGGCGGCTGGCGTGGCACTGCTGTGCTTGGGCGCCGGCAGCAGCTCGGAGAAGAGCTTGGGCTTCTTTGGCGCCGGTGCCATCTGTCGGCTTTGGGCATCGTCGTCCTCGTCGTCATCTTCCTGGAACTCGCTCTGCACGCGCGTACAGGAAGGTGGCCAGCGGTGCACGTGAGCGCACGCATAGGCAGCTGGGCAGATGATGATAAAAGTTGCAGCACACAGCAGAGAGGCAGGCATAGACAGGAAGGCACCACAGACACAGACACAGACAGACACACACAAACAGACACAGACACAGACAGACACAGACACAGACACAGACACATACACATACACAGACACAGACACAGACACAGACACACGCACGCACACGCACACACACGCACACACACGCACACACACGCACACACACAGTCGTTCGCACCGCGTCTGGATCTGGCAGGTTGAACATCTGTCGTCGCTTGGCCTCCAACGCTGCGCGTAACCGTTGCTTCTTCTTGTCAACGGCTGCTGCTTGCCGTGGCGGTGCTGCCTTCTTCACACCGGCCGTACTGCCCACCACCCTCTGCTCTTCCTCGTCCTCACTGTGATCCTCATCGCTGCTCGAACCATAGTCAACAAGCGACATGCTTGGTTGGTAGTGTGTGTGTGTGTGTGTTGTGCGGTGGTTGTTCGTTTGTGGTTGCGTTCTCTTCTGCTGCGTTTGCGTTTGTTTGTGTGTGATTGGTTGGCGATCGGTTGATGAAGGTAGCAAGGACACACAACACACGCACGCACACTTACACACTCACACACACACACACACACACACAAGCAGGCAAGCAGGCAAGCAAGGGAGTAATGATAGAGAACAAGAGAGGGAAGCGAGACTGAAAAGCAAAGGAACCATAGCAAGCAAGTCAGTTGAAGGGTGGTGGTGGTGGGAACGCAAGCCGACAACAGAGCGCACGCGCAACAGGAGGCAAAAACGTGGCAAGTGTCTGTCAGCCGTGCGGATGATGCCAGACAGGCAGGAAGGCACAGGGGAAGCAGGTGGGCCGAACATCGACGCAGCCGATGGCTGCTGAGCACGTACTGGCGGAACCGAAATGGAAGACACACTGACGACGTTGGGTGGGATACAGAGAGTGACGCAGACAGGCACAAACAGAGAGAGAGACATGTACACACACACACAAACACAGAGAGAGAGAGAGAGAGGTGCACACACACACACACACACACACACACAGACACGCACATGCACAGACACATGCACACACATATGCACACAAACACACACACACACCCGCTAGAACATGCTCATACGAAACAAAGAGGTGACGCTACGACAAGTGCCCGTGTGGCACGCGATGCAAAGAAGACAGAACAAAACTAAACAACACAGCTATTGGTGGAACGCGAGCGGGGTGGTGAGGCGGCAGGGCAGGCCACCGCGGTCATCAGGATCGTGCAGGCGATAAAACGCAACCAGCTCGTCGAGGTTTGGGAACTTGTTGTCTGCAACATCCTCCTCGCCGTGGTCAATGTGCACCTGTCCGCGCTCGTGGATGACGCGGAAGTGGGCGACCTTGCCTGGCGCCCGCATGGACAGCGCAAGCTTCGAGTTGCGCATGCGGAACATGAACGTGCCATAGGACGAGCTGGTGTGCCACGCACGATTTTGAGGTTTGGGGGTTTGGGGTTTGGGAGGGGATGGGTGATCAGTGTGAGTTGCAGAGTGAAAGTGTGTGTAGGTGAGCGTGTGTATGTGAGCGCGCGTGTGTGAGCGTGCGTGTGCGCGGGTACGAGCACACAACACAGAGAAGGCTAACAGGCAAAACGCAGGTACAACGACAACTAAAACGCAGACAGACAGACAGGCAGATAGACAGACACACGGGCACACACACGGGCACACACACACACACACACACACACACACACACACACACACACACACACACACACACACGCACGCACACACACACACGCACGCACACACACACACACACACACACACACAAAACATGCAAACCGCTTTCACCTCTCGAGAAGGACGTCGGCCTCGTTGCGGGTCCTGTCCTGCTGCATCCACGCCAGGAGCGTGGCGTTGGACGTGAGGTCGAGCCCGCGCTTGAACGGCTGCGACTGCGGTGCCGCCTGCCGCTGGTCGGGAACGCAGTTGACATAAAGCGCATCCGGGGCAGTTGGCGGCGGCTGCCGGTGTGGCG